GATTCAGGTTCCTAGATAGAATCTGGGATTTGGCTAGAGAACCAGACCATAAGCATATTAATAAATACTGGTCCTTTATCTAATGGGAGTTCAGGAACCTGAAAAGCCTATTCTTCTTAGGAAAGAAGTTACACAATAGGGCGGGAGGTGTAGTCTTGTATGATACGCAGCAGATATGGAAAACTGAGGATAAAAACAAGAGGATTGAATTCAATGTAACACACTGAAAAAGTCTGAGACTTGACCAAAATCAAAATTTGCTTCTATGTCTTTAGCACTTCAGGAAGTATACCATATGATTTAGATTGGAAATCACAGTCACTATTTATTAATTTATTTAGATGTTCTCATGAAAACTTAGTGTCTAAACTAAAACCTGTGTGGGCTTAAAATATTCATGAACATTAGTTATGTACTAATTAAGTGAAAGCCTAGTATCTGGATATCTTTTTTTTTCAGCATTAGTTTATGTGGTTTTCATTTTTGTATTGGTAAGGCCACAGCATCAAAATCACAAAAATGTAAAATATTTTAAATAGGACCCTTGCATCCAGAACAAAAAAAAATACTAAACATTTTACTTCCATGGCAACTCTGATGTAACAGGTTCTAAATAGCACTCTCAGAACATGATGTTGTTTTTCAACATATGAAATTATTTAATATTTTTCAGATTCTTCCTTACAACTGATACATGCTGATTAGTGAAATCAATGACATAAACATCAATGAGAACTAACTTTTGCAAGATAATTTAATTCCATGTGAAATAGTGATCATTACAAGTCAAGATTAAAAGAAAACAACCCTAATTCATTTGTATTAGTGACGTTTTTATAAAGATACATGCTATTAAATTTCATTTGGTAATAGTTTAATTTTATTATGGTCCTATGATGCACAATCTATTAGATACTCAACTGCTTGCTTGTCTACCTTTAAATACAGATATGTTTTGTTTATGTGGCTTTAGTGTTCTAGTACTTCGTGGTCATTTAATTCTAACCCTGTGTGCAACTGAAAAGGTTTAAAAGTGAAACAACTCTATCATGGAAATGCTATAACCCCATAGCAATGGTTATTGCATTGTCATTTTTGTGAAAGTGGAAGAGTAACACATAACTTTCTTCAAGCAGGTTCAGCGACTTTCATAATTTTTATTGTAAGTTACCTTTTCTGAATTAAAACCAAAAAACCACTACTCCACTTAATTACAACATTACAGCTTTTGCTGAAGGGAAAGACTAAGTGAATGACTCATGCAGAAGAGGCATTAGTTACAGCCCAGTTGGTCTTATGAGACTTATGGGACAGTGAAGACCAGATCTACAAAGCTTCTTGAGTATCAGAGACAAAAATTACAAGTCCTGGAAACTCATACAACTTTGTCACATAGCCTTGGGCATGCTTTAACGTTCAGCACCCTTACTCTTGTAATTAAGACTTATCAGCCCATGAGGACCTAAGCATTCCTGAAAGCATTTCACTAGAGCAGGATGAGAGGAAATAGCCTCAAATTGTGTCACGGTTGACATTGGATATTAGGAAAAATTTCTTCACTGAAAGGGTGGTCAAGCGTTGGAACAGTCTGCCCAGGAAAGTGGTGGAATGACCATCCCTGGAAGTGTTCAAAAAACATCTAAATGTGGTACTTAGGGACGTGGTTTAGTCGTGAAGATGGCTGTGTTAGGTTAATGATTGAAGTCAATGGTCTTAGGTCTTTTCCAGCCTTAATGACTGTATGATTTTATAACTGTACATCTCAATTCCTATCTTGCACCATAATTAGAATTTATTTAATTTATCCTGAAAATTTTAACGAGTAGATCACAGACATCTGTTGAATCCTGTTCCCTGAAGTGCAAAAATGAAGACTAGTCACATTAAAAAAAAAAAGGTGGATATTTTTCCACAATAAGCATAGGAGAAATTATTTCTGTTATTATAAAACAGCAAGCCATTGAAATATGCTTTGCTGCTCCAAAAGAAATTAACCTCAAGAAATAAAAATGTTATCTAGCAAGTTTTAAGCATTCAGTAGTCAATTTAGGAAATGCTAAGGACTTAAAGGAGAGAGTTTTTAGCTCTGAAGATCAAGAACTGGGATTTTATTGCTGCTATTTATGTATTTTATATACATATACATATATGAATATATATGTGTATATATATATACACACGCACAGAAGTTATATGATTATGTAAAGAATTTTTATTAAATGTAATTTTCTACAAAACTCATTCCTAAGTAACATGAAATTAGAGTCAGTGCACATGTTTGGAAGAAGAGATTTGAGCTTGTATATTTTGTCTAAAAACTTTGTTAATTCTACTTTCAGTCAATGGTCAATCAGTACAGAGGCTGGAATAAGTTCTTTTTAAGCATGTATACAAAGATAAAAATGATAAAAAATCTTAATAAAACCTAAAATTATTATTCTGAAGTTAGAGCTCCTTCTTTGAATGTTATTAAAGTTGCATGAGTTCATTAAATGTGTTCCACCATTACAATGCTTCTCTATAATATTAGGTCTTCGGATTAATATGCTATTGCAAACTTTGATGTTGGTTCCCATTAAGAAGTAGAGTTATATTTTTTTCATAATGAAATTTAATGTCAATTTAACCAGGTTTAATTAAACTTTGGCTTATAAATCATTTTATTGAGATGTGCAATTAAATTTTCTGAGTTTTATAGCTTTTTAATTAAAATTTATTAAGCCAACTTGTGGTTAAGTGCCTGCAAACTAGTTCCCTTACATTTCCAAGCTATCGTGCAATGTTCTAGTCACACAATTTATCTGGAGTTAGTAGATTAAAACACCGTTACATAAAAATCTATTTTTTTAGGGACGTATTGACATTTAATCAAGTAATTTAAAAAAGAACTGACTCATGTTTTAATCCAATTATCTCTTATGTTAAGATAATTTAAAAGCATGGTTAATACAGTCCATGACCAGGTGAACACCTTTGATTGTCTTTGTGTCAGCATCCTACTTTGGGTATATATGTAAAGTTAAAAAGTAACTCAATGAAAGTTAAGTTTTACATATAAAAGTATTTACATTCATAGTAATAAGCATAATTTTCAGCTTTATCTAATTTATTTTATCTGCACTTATGTATTTCATCTGTAATTACATTAGACATTTCAAGGAACTTCTGTCTATCATGATTTTGTCATGTCTATGTCTTCATTATTAATCTCTGCTACCTTATGTAAAATAATATACAGTTAATTTTTAATAAATTCTTTTAAGCAGTAAATTTCAAAAAATATGAAGTTGGTGAATTGAAATAGGAATTTCCGTCTATCGCATGGGATGAAGGAGGACAGCATGTGACACACTAGAACCAGAGTATAATTCTGATGTTATAAATCTTGCACCTTTTCTTCCTGCACTTGTTATAATGGCCCAGACCCAAACAAGCAATTATAGACAACATTGATTTGGATTTTGATATGCTAAGAACTGAATCAAGCGGGTGTAGCAGTCAAATATCCACTTCCCTCAGTTTTGATGTTCTTACACTTCATGACTGAAGTTTTGTCGTTCTTTCCCTGCTTCTTGTCTTACTCTCACAAAGTCTATCCAAAATTTATCTTTTATCTATTAGATGTTATAACTTGCTCTTTTTATTACTTTTTGCATTTTTTTGGTTTATATAAAAATAAGGTTTTTTTCATGTGCCTCCAGTCTACAACTACTTCACATTCATCTCGAAATTGTCTATGAATCAAGGATTTTCAATTTCTCCACGGAGATTAGGCACTTTAAAAAAAATGTTTGGAGAAAAATACCCTGCAAAACTGTGATTCTATTGTGTCCTGTTAATGTAGAGTAGGCAGTTCAGAGAGTGCTGAATTCAATCCTTAGTATTCAGTCAACTAAATGAAATTTTTTGTTTAGTTTGTAAGTTTTATGTAACTTATATAGTTTTTGTTTATTCTTTTTTGTATCAGCCAGGAAAAGGTTAATTTTATGCAGTAGCCTCGAGGGGGCATAGCTAAGAAACAGCGGTTATTCTGTACCACCTCAGGTCATTGCCGGGGGCAGGGCAAAGGGAATCTCTTGAGAGGAGAAGGGGTTCCATCAGTCAAGTGAATGAGGTGGAGGGAGCTGTCCAGTATTGTCTATTGTCAGGGGTGCGGGGGTGGGTGTTCCTTTCTTGTATCCTCTTTCATTAGTATTGTTGCTGTCACTGTTCATTTTCTTACCTCATTGCTGATTCCAGTAAATTGTTCTTATCTCAACCCCTGAGCTTTGCCCTTTGTGCCTCCAATTCTCCTCTTCAGCCTGCCCCAAGGAGGGGGGAGAGGGGAAAGGTAGGGGAGTAAGAGAGCAGCAAGTGGTTTGGAGAGTCTTGGTGGGAGCACTGAACTGTTGAGTACCATTCCTAAACCATGATGGTATTATAAATTTTAATACTGTGAGACCTTAATTGCTGTATACATTTTGAATGTTAACTGGATGTTAACAACCTCTTCTAAACAAGTTCAAGAAATAATGCTAAGTTCAGGTGTTGATCTTCCTCTCAACCTTGTCATGTATATAGACTGACATCACCTGGATATTGATAATATAACTGTATATGACTGACAAGTTTTTTAAGAAATAGATCAGACAGTGAAAAAATACATGAGAATGTAGTACATCCATATAAAGATTTACAATATATTGACCGTGTTGAATTACAACTGAATTTATAAAAATTTCAAACAATAGCCTTTACTAGTTCTGACAATTCTTAATTACAATATTACCATATAGTCTTGGTATTTTTCTCTGAATATATTTGTACATGAATTGCGACTACAGCTGTTGAACTCATGCGTGGTTTGTTTTTCTCATGAGCTGTAAGAATATGGCACGGCATACCCATGTCCATGTATGGCAGATACAGGCTAATTCTATGGTCTTATTAGCTTTAGCATCTGTTTTTATTTTCTGAAATATTACTGAATTACTGAATCTGAACTACTTTCTTCTTCTCAGGAGAATATAATGGAAGTTATAAGAAATCAAGAATTTTTACTTCTACCAGCTGAAGAGCTGCATAAACTTCTTGCTAGTGATGATGTGAATGTTCCTGATGAAGAGACCATTTTCCATGCCTTAATGATGTGGGTGAAGTATGATATGCAGAGGCGATGCAATGACCTAAGTATGCTACTTGCATATATCAGATTACCACTCCTTCCACCTCAGGTATTTTTACAGTTATGTAATAATAATAATAGTAATAGTAATAATAATAATAATAACAACATTGTTATTGTGTTATTGTGAAAACTGGCATCAGTTTATAATCTGCAACTGCTGAATACTCTGTGTGTTTAAAAGAAAACCTGTTCAGAATTAGAAAAAATTATTGATAGCCCTTAACCCTGAGTGATCTCAATAAATTTGAGGAATGGGCTAACAGACATGCAAGAAGGACAGAGTTGTGAAACTAAAGAGGAGCAACAGCAGATTTCATAGCATGCTAAGAATGATAGACAGAATAGTAAATATTCTCAGAAAAAAACCAACCAAACAAAAAAAATAATCAAACACATGGGACTTATGATGGATACCAGGCTGAGCATGAGTCAACAGTATGAATGAGGAAAACTGTATTTTGTTCTACAGCAGGAAAAATTCTGTCAGCAAGCCATATGAAGTTATTATTCACATAATACCTGGTACTGCTAAGTCTGCACCTGAAATATTGTTTCCAATTTTGCACGCCACAATTCACAAGGCATAGGAACAAATCGGAAGAGGTCCAGAGATGGGCTACCAAGATGGTATATCAGCTAGGAAAGGAGAAGCTGAAGAAGTGGTCTTGTTCAATCTAGTGAAGAGGAGGCTAAATGATGACCAAATAGCAACTTAAGACCTGAATTTGGTCATAGAACCAAATTCTTGAGAGCACCACAAAATGTAAGAAGAGGTAAACACCCCAACTTGTAGCATGGACAGTTCAGGTTGGACATGGCTTGAGGGGAATCACTTGGAATGCAGTGAGCAAATGCAGCTGTTTTTTCAAAGTCTAAGTGATCTTCTTCATTGAAGGTTTTCCTGAATTCCTAAATGCAGTGTTGGCACTAGCCCTGATTTGAGTGAGAAGTTTATCTAGTTGGCCACTGAGGTCCTTTAGATCTCCCTTCCTGTGAATGCTTCCATGAATCTGTGATTCAGGCTTCAGTTTCTTTTTTTTTTCAGACAACTAAATAGCAATTTTCTTTCATATTTCCATACTATCATTCTCCTTCCAGCTAGTGTACTGGGTCTGGCTGGAGTGGAATAAACTTTTTTTATGGCAGCCCATATGGTGCTGTGCTTTTCACTTATGGTTAAAACAGTGTTGGTAATACACATGTGTTTTGGCTATTGCTGAGCAGTGCTTATACAGCTCAGACGGTTGACTGGTTTTGTTTTGTTTTACATTCCAATATAAAATGTGCAAAGGAAACAGTCAAATATGACAATTTTTAAATGTTTCATTGTCAAAAATGAGCTCTTTATTTTTCAACATCTATGCCAATGGAGAAGGTCACACACGACACTATGCATAATTGCAGCGTTCAAAGTAGTTTGTTTTTTTTTAATCTGCCAACCACTTAAAAAACAGTATCTTAAGTTGTTCACACAGCATTCGCACCTCTAGCTCTTATTGTGTAGAATGATCATGAAAGCTTTGTTAGTTACTGGTCCCTGCACTAGTTCTGAATAATAATTTTCTTTATAATAACATAATTTTCTTTATTATTTATATATTTCTTTATAATTACTATCTTCAAGATCTACCAATAAGTTAATGAATTAAGTGAGGCTATTGGCGGTAGTCAGATGAAAGGAGTACAACTGTTTTGTCTGTTCTGTGAATTGCTGAAAATTATGAAAAAAAATAAAAAGTTTACTTTCCTTTTCAATAGTCTTATGTAAATTATCAGGTTATGTATGTATGTATGTGTGTGTAAGGTATGTAATGGTCTCATTCTTATCTAGGTTCCCTTTCTCATGAAAGGCTGGACCAGAAGATCTTTCAGAGTCACTTCCATCCTAGGCTGTTCTGTGGTTCTGTGATTCTGTGGTTCCGTGGTTTCACGGTATATAAAGTATCTGTTGAAACAACTTAGAGGCAAGATTTCAGACTGCTTTTATATTCATAAACTTTAAACCTGCTACAGATTCTAAATATATGGTTCACAAGTATAGCTGCATTTGTCCAATCAATAGAGATTTTACTACATCTAGACATGCCTTACTTTGCTTACCCCTGAACTGCTATTTGCATGTAAACCAGTGATCCAAAAATTACCAAGCTGTGTTTTAGCTCTTTATCCATAATGTTAAAGGCAATTCCTTATATAATTGTTGTCTCACATGATTGACACTTACGTATACACTACTAAAACAGTTGTGTTAACCTGAAAATTAATTCCATTGTGTACCTTTCAGAAAATTTCTCTATCATTTTCATTGCACTGAGAATTAACTGAAGAGCTCTCTGGAAAGAAGCCAGGTCAAAATTAGCAGCTAATGATTGAACCTTTGAGAAAAAAAGATTTGGGTTCCTCACTTTTGAATTCACTAAAAAAGATGAAGTCATAGACTGCAAAGATTATTAACAGTTTGGAAAGATTGTACTGAGATCCTCTTAAAATGAATGTTTAAATTTATAGCCTGAGTTTTCATGATACCTCATTTCAGTCTCCAGGTGCAGTAATTATGTTGGCAATGTAGTCAGACTTAAATAGTACGATATCAAACAATGTAATTCATAATTCAATAGCAGAATTATCAGAAGCTAAGCAGTATTAACATGTTAAAAGGAAAGTATCATGAAGATGAAAATGAAATAATAGAACCTGCCACGTTACCATAGAACTTTTTTGCTCCTTTCATTTGACTGTAACGATCTGCTAAACTTAAACAGTTTACATTTCTTCATTCAAGTCAAACTAAGAAAGATTGGTGGCTTGACCAATATAAGAAATTGTTTCACATTTAGTCACTTCCTTTCAATAGGCATTGCAGATATGTTGGTCCATACAGAGAACATATCTTAATTTGTGCTTATTTCACTTTCCTTGACTTACTGACAATAGTTTGTCTAATGCAGCTCAAGATGTCACCTGTCTTCTTTGAGACACAGGCACAGTGCTGGCTCCTGTTCTGACAAGCTGCTTTCCAGCTGGCTGGCCCCCAGCCTATATTAGTGCATGAACGTACATACATATACACATGGACATAAACATATACATTTATTTCCTTCTTTTATTGTAGAATGTTCTTATAAACCTTTTCCTTAAAGGTGAAATTCCACAGTTGTCTACCCTTGTCTGCACTTGAAGCTAAAACATTAACTTCTGGCCATGAAGGCAAACAGCGTAGAAGAGTTTATATCTATTCAGCTGTATTTTCCTTTTCTTTCTCTCTACCTTTTTCAAAACAGAATAGTTTCTTCTGTGTTTGTATTTCCTGTTCCCTGACTCAAGCTGTATCTAGAAACATTCAGTGCAATTCATCAGCATGTTTGAACCTCTGCCTATTTTGATTACTAATGATGTAATCACATTTACTAAGATGAAAAGCTGGTTTCTGCTGTTTGTCTATACATAGTGTAATGTATCTGTTAATGTTGAGTCTACAGCACGAGCCAAAAATGTATGCATCTTCTATTGGGCAAAACATTATTTCATGGTGTTTTTTAAGAGTGCAAGAAGTTGCTAATGACGCTTGGGCTGCTGAAGGAATTTACAAGCAAGAGTTAGAAGTTAACGGAGTACCTAGAATAGCATGACAGTAAAGAGTGATGATGTTGCACTTTAGGTTTCAGTGTTTCTCAGCAAAGATGTGTATGATATAAAGACCACAAATATTTCCTTGTAGAAACGGTTAAGCACCAGTGTGCTATGTTTATAATGGCTGTTCTTTGCAACTGTTTGTAACAGCAGATCACTGGTTAACGGGGAAACTTAAAAATAGCATAGGATAAAGCATAGGTGTTACTGCCTTTTCCTCTGCAACCCTTTTAATGATATCACTTTCAGAGGCTTTGCAAATCACATCAGTAGAATATTGCGTAGTCTTTGAGTACTGTGACTGTGGCTCAGATTCAGTAAATCTAATATAGGCATCTAAATTAGATTTCTTGCCCAGGAGCAGAAACAATGCAGTCCTTATAAAATGAAGTACTTAAATACCCTGTAACTCACTGGAGAGAAAGTGAATGGGTCCACATGGGTCCTGTTCTTATTTATAGAGACATGCTGTAGGTAACCTGTAGAAAATGCTAAGCCTCTAAATCCCCTTAGAATGCACACATTACATCTGACTGTACATGATTTTAAAAGTGTATATGAATTTGCATGTAGTAATGGTGTAGAAGCCCTTTAAATCCTAGCTTGGATAACTGACATTATGAGGCAAACTTTTAAATTCCTTCACCAGCTCAGCTAGCATTTGGCAAAGAGGTACTGCCAAAAAAAAGCAAATTACCCACGCAGTTGTCAGACTTAGGTTCATCAAGTTCTGACCTTTTCAATATATATTGAGCTAGATGAAACAACTGAAGGTTCCTTTGCTTAGCAAAAATGGAGGGAATCATTCTATGTCAATCAATCTTTAAATTTCTTCTTCAGAGCAGTGTGATTGATAATATGAAATGAGAAGCTTTTTCAGTTCTCTAACCACCTCTAGCATCACTAAAGAAGTGCAGCTTATAAGAATTTGCACCTGACTGAGTTCTAAGCTGTTTAGAGTGGTTCTTGCCTACTGGTCTGGGGTAAATGCGAAGTATGTGCATATATTCAGTCATACTCTACAACATTTTGTGAATTCTTTCAATCATTTCTGGATGAATTACATACCAGGAGATTATAACTTGAATCTGAAAAGACTAAAGGTATGATACAGCTTCTTATTCACCTTTGTGTTTCCACATCAGCTGAATTCCTAACCTCCCACTATAGGCATTGAAGATCTAGTGCACTTTCCAACACACAGGAACAAACCTGTGTGCTGATTTGAGAGGTTCCATGATCATGTTTTCTGGGTCCCAGCAGATTATCTGGAAGCATTCCTTCATAAATCCAGTGCCGTATTTACTGGCCCTGTGTGGATTCTTAGATGCCATGTGGCATGTCAAATGGTGCTAAATGCTTGGTTTTGTGCAAGTGGATTAAGCAATTACTCAATTTGAATGTCAGCTTCTATCA